TTATCAGCCTCCTCTCTCTGACTGGTCTGTGCTTGTTTATCAGCCTCTTCTCTCTGGTTTGCTTCAACCTGTAAGCAGAATTTAAGCCTGCATTTCTGTATGCATCTAATATATACATAAGCTTGTATGTTTGACTGTGGTGCTTTTACATGCTTCAGACATGGACATAGTTTGTTAAATATATGGTTACAAAAAAAAAAAATCAGTCTATGGTCATTCTGAGTTTCCAAATGTCAGGGATTCACCTTTGCTCACCAAATCGGATTCAGACTCGGCAGTTAGGGTCTTCCATAATAAGTCCCAGCTTCCCACTTGAGCACCTTAAAACATGTGCTTACCGGCTTCCTGGTCCTGCTCTCCTCTGCCTCGTGTCTGTGTTCCTGTTCTTCTCACAGGATAATCTCCCTTCCGCGCACATTGTTTTCTGCGTCGCCCTGTTTCTTCCCTCAGAGCTGACGTCCTCCTTCAAGCCCTGTTAAGTTCTGGTTCCTCCTTAGCTGTTTTGACTTCTAGCTTGTTTTTACCTCCAAAGTTGCTGTACTTCTCCTGTGCAGCGAGCTCCGCTGGCCTGCCTAGACTCTCCTAAGCACTTCCATCGTCACAGTTCTGGATTATGTGCGGCCTCCCTGAGAGAGCAACGCTGATCTAGCCTCTCCCTTTCTACCCAGTGCCATGCCGCCCGGCACGGCGCTCTCACATGGAGGAGGGATTCTATAAGAATCCAGAGATGACTGGAAAACACTGGGAGCTTAAAATGGTTTCAAAGCTAGCAGATAGCTCAGTGGGTGAAGTTCTCACTGTGCAGGCGCCAGGGCGTGAGTCTGATCCCTAGCACCGGTCTGTGTACAATAGCGAGTGCTTGCCATATTAGCACTGGGGAGGTGGAGAGAGGCTGGCCACCCAGCCTAGCCTATTTGGCAAGTTCCAGTCTAAAGAGAGACGTCATCTCAACAAACACAGTTGATGGCTAATTCCTAAGGATGACACCCAAGGTTGACCTCTGATATTCATATGTGCTGTGGTATTTGGAAAGTTTCAGCCGACACAAGAGTTAGTAAAAAGAGAATGTATCCTGTAAAATACCTAAAACATCATGGATTCTAAATACATACTTATTTCTCTTATAAGGAGTAAGTGAACTCCCAGTAGAGAACAGATTTCTAATCTGTGCTAAAATACTAAAGCCTCAGACATTGGTTCAGCTGCCTCATTTTGCCAGTGAAGAGATGATTTGCCTAGGATAAGAGAATGTACTCAAGTTAAGTTAGGAGGGCCTGGAAGGATCGCTCAGCAATAAAAAGCACTGGCTGTTCTTATAGAGGACCTGGGTTTAATTCCCAGCACCTACATGGCAGCTCACAGCTGTCTGTAACTCCAGTCCCAGGAGAACTCTCTTCTGGCCTCTGCAGGCCCCAGGCACACACATAATGCATGGACACGCATGCAAGCAAAAGACTCATACACATTAAGATAAATTAAATTTAAAAAAATTAAAGGTTGAACTGGGCTTGGTGATACATGCCTTTAGTCCCATCACTCAGGAGCAAAGGCCAGTCTGGTCTACAAAGGGAGTTCCAGGACAGCCAGGGCTGTTACACAGAGAAACCCTGTCTCAAAAAACCAAAGTAAATAGAAACATAGATACATAGATACAAAGAGACAGACAGACAGACAGACAGACAGACAGATGAATAAAAAATAAACAGTTAGATGCAGTAGAGTGGCTAAAACCTAAGTCTCCTGCATCTCAGTCAAGGACTGTGAACAGCACACAGAGTAAACTAGATGCTGTGGGAAGGAAGCCCACAGTGTCAATTTGATGCTAGTGAAGACAGATTTACCAGTTTCCATATAGTAAAGAAGCTGGTTTTATTTCCAAATTGACTGAAATTCCCTAAGTCACTGTTGGCTGGACAGAAGCAGCAGAGTGCATCCAAGAGCTGACAAAATGCTCCTGGAAGCCATTCTGCTGAAGAGAAGTCACTGCATCCTGGCTGATGAGAATGAGAATGGTCCTCAAGTAGAAGGCACTTGAGAGGTACACGGCATACTTCTATGACCCCTGGCCCTGAGCCTTGCCCTAAATCACAGGCTGAAGTAGATTGTGTTCAAAAAGCCCTCTGTTCTCTTCCCTGCCATACAGAATGGAAATCCAAAGTGGGGAGTACTCTTGTCTTCTCAGATCAAAATCCAGCCCACTAGACAGGAGAGCCAGTGAGGTTTACTCTCTGGAAAGTGTCTTCATCGCATGTGAAGACTGAGTAAAACAATAATTTTGTTTCTCCTGTAATTTATGAAAAATGACAAAATGACACTCAGGCTGAACAAATTAGACCCTTTGAATGAGGAGGTAATGGGATCCTTATGATTTTAATCCCGTGAGCAATCCCTGGATCACTTAAGCATACCCAGCCCCCAGGAGGAGCCTCTCTGTGCCGACTAATGTACTCAGTAATGGCAGAGTGCTGGTGGCTTCTATCACCACTCTTCCTTTAAGCAGAAATTCTCCATTGCATTCCGAGACTGAACAGTTTCATTTAATTGCTTTAATGTTTCTTATTTTGTACTCTAAGAATCTGTACCAAGGGGCAGTATATATTGCACCTGGCTGTTGCTAGCCTCTGCCCTTACATAATAAGTTGGGTTTGGACTGTTCTGGCAAAGAATAGAATGGAATTACCATTCTGAAGCGAGTCAAGACCTTGAAAAAGGCCCTTTGTGCTATGGTAATAGGAGCCAAGCAACCCCTTATCATTCTGAATGGGAAATGCCTGGCTGTGGTGAAGTCACTGCAGCTGAGTAGTAGATTGAACAAGGCAAGAGAGTTAACGTTCCAAGGCTCTGTCCTAAGTCGCTTATAGGTTCAGGATTGGACCTAGTGGGCGCTGTGCATGCTGAGATTGTGTGGCCTGACTTTTCCTGTCACAGTCAGGTGATAAAGCAGAGGCAGCCTGCATCTACAGACAGCTACTAGGAATGCTAAGACCCCTGTCAGAACCAGTCTCTCTTGCCCGTCCGTTAATTAGTTCTCATTGAAATCCACTAAGAGCTGTTTTGAGGGAGAAGTGTGCATGTCAAAATGTGAAGCTTTAGTGGTAATACTGCTGTTTCTCTTTAAATTGTTCTAGAAAAAGTTGCTTTCTTCCATTAGGAAAACAAAAAGATGTGGTAAAAGTTAGGTGTTCTGAAATTAAATGTTTCTCAAATAAACATAATTCTTCAGATTGCCATCTGTTTTTTAGAGAGATCTCACAAGTGCTGTGACTATGGGTGTGAAGCATTAGATTCCCTTCTCAGTAGGCAGTTCCTACAGCCGGTTCCTTCCTAGGCAGACACCAATGTGAAACAGAATTCTGGCTGCCAGGTTTCCTTACAGCTGAACTGCTTAGCTCCTCTACTGGGCATCAAGCCACTTATGGTTCTTTTTTTGTTTTGTTTTTTTATTGTTTCTGTTGTTCAAAGATAAAAGTTAGTGGTAACAAGTAGAAACATTTTTTTAATTTTGTGTGTGTGGGAGAGGGTGCGGGGGACGGTCTCACTCTGTATCCCTGGCTGATCTGAAACTCTTAGAGATCCTCCAGAACCGCAGCCACACCTGGCAAAAAGATACATTTTATCCTTTATGTCACACATTTGTATCTCTTATCTTAACCATGTTTCTCTAGGACTGAATCTTAGGCGCTTTCTTTACTGCTTTCCTGTTGAGAGGTTTTACAATCTTCAGAGTCCACAACAGTTTCTCACTTTCTACTCTTCTCTTTTTTTTTTTTTGGTTTTTTTTTTTGGTTTTTCGAGACAGGGTTTCTCTGTATAGCCCGGGCTGTCCTGGAACTCACTCTGTAGACCAGGCTGGCCTCGAACTCAGAAATCCGCCTGCCTCTGCCTCCCGAGTGCTGGGATTAAAGGCGTGCGCCACCACCGCCCGGCTTCTACTCTTCTCTTTATTTATGCAAGACTTTGAATATAGACATCTATAACTTCTATCCATCATACCTTCAACTTCAAATTCATTACAGAAATGGGAGCCAAAGAAAGTTGAAATATTGGCTCTGCTCTTTTTTTTTTTTTTTTAATTTTTTTTTTTTATTTTATTTATTATATGTAAGTACACTGTAGCTGTCTTCAGACACCACACAAGAGGGCATCAGATATCATTACAGATGGTTGTTAGCCACCATGTGGTTGCTGGGATTTGAACTCATGACCTCTGGAAGAGCAGTCAGTGCTCTTAACCACTGAGCCATCTCACCAGCCCCTTGGCTCTGCTCTTAAGGCTTAAGCTTGGAAGTGTTTTACAGTAGTCCTTTGATACTTTTTATCTTAATGGTTCCTGGGTGGATTAATTGGGACTTTGCTATTCTTTTCAATCTCACACGGTCCTTAGATGTTTGTTTGTTTATTGTAGAGCCTGGCTATTTCTAGCTTCTTGGGTTTGTTTTCCCTGTGTCTGAAGAAAAGTCTTCTAGAGCCCCAAAGATAAACCGCCCCTTGTAAACAGAGAAGTAGCAGTGGAATGCCATTCTGATTGCTCAGTGGCAGAATCTCTGCTTAGAGTTCTTATTCTCCACTCAGCAAATCTAGATTGCACACTCCTATCTCAGAGAGTGCTTCAATGGCAAACCAGTAGGAACAACTAGAAATACCCCTTTTTTCAAGCCACATTCACAACTCTCCACTGTTCAAAGCCCAGGGCTAAGAAAAGGCTTCTGTTGTCTTCATTAGTGAAATGCATGTGGGCTTGGTTTAAAGTCCTTCACTACCCAGCAGCCATACACCTCAGAGGTCTGATACTCACAGCTTCTGCTCTGCGGCGTTACATTCTAATGAGGTGAATATATTCCCCTCCCAGGCTCTCCTGGTCTGATTCCTGCTTGCCAGCTTTCTCTAAGGAAGACATGACCCTTGTATCTTGAGCACTAGTATTTATCTTCTAAAAATTAACTCTTGTTCTTGATTCATAGAAAGAAACAGAGGTAAAGGAACGCTCTGTTTTTGACATCCCTATATTTACCGAAGAGTTCCTGAACCACAGCAAAGGTGATTACGGCTGTACCTTTTTTGTGTTCCTTGTGTCTTTGACAGGGGATTTAGTTTTCAGGAGTTCATTGCTCAGAAGCACTGGCTGATAGCCCTCCTTAGGACTGGAGAAGACGTTGCTGTAAAGAGTGGCTGTTATTTTACCCTGTGACCAGTAAGAAAGCAAGGGCAATGCAGCCACAGTCTCTTTGGTCTCTGGATCAAAAGAAATAAATACAAATCACTGATGCCATGGCTTTTTGATAGGTAGCCTAGAACCCTCTGTACAAATGAAAGCTTACAGGGGAGTCCAGAATACAAAGTACGAGACTACGAAGTTCGGAGGCCTGGAGAGATGGCTTGGTGGTTAAGAGCACTGGCACCTTTTCCAGAGGCTGCAGGTTCCATTCCCAGCATCCACATGGCAATTTATAATTCCAGTTCCACGGAATTTAATGCACTTACCCTGATCTCTGTGGGCGCCAGGCACGTATGCCATACATAGATATACATACAGGCAAAATACCCATACACATAAAAATAAATAAATCTTTTTTTTAATTTAAAAAAGAACAAAAGAAAAGAAATTACAAATTGATCCCACTACAGGACAGATAGGTAACCCCAGCCATGCTTAGCCAGTCCTCCCGATACCCCTGGGTAGCCAGCCCTTCCAACTTCCTCACTGCAGGATTTTAAAAAGCAAAATCTAACCGAATGGTGGCAATTACCACTGTTTGTTACAGTCTTGTGTATAGAATGTGTTGCTTTAAGAATTAAAATAGCTCTGGGGAGCCAGGCGTATGGTTGTTGAAATTGCTATCTGGAGTGTCATAAAGGGACTTGGGAGATGAGGGAGCTTCTAATGAGAGATAGCTACGCAGAACTTCATAGAAGAGTCGCAGGGACTCAGACGCTCCTCCTCTTACCGCGCATTCTGGGGTGGGGCGGGCCATGTGTCCTCAGCTCGTGAGGCAGAGCTCCGCCAGCTTCGGAAATCCAACATGGAGTTCGAAGAAAGGAACGCAGCCCTACAGAAGCATGTGGAGAGCATGCGCACAGCCGTGGAGAAGCTGGAGGTTGACGTGATCCAGGAGCGGAGCCGGAACACTGTCCTCCAGCAGCACCTGGAAACCCTGCGACAGATGCTGACCAGCAGCTTTGCCAGCATGCCCTTGCCTGGTAATACTGTCCTGTCCTCTCCGCACGCTTAGTGGGAGGGGGAGTCGGGAGGACGGGGATGGGCGCTGCGAGAGTCGGGAGGCCGGGGATGGGCGCTGTCAACGTTAGTATTAATGTGGAAAAGCCGCAATGTCTCCCAAGAGGAAAAGAGAAGGGAATAAATCCCGTCAAGATTTTCAGTACAGCCTGGACAGGGCAAGGTAGTGCATACCTTCAGTCCCAGCTCTCAAGAGGCAGAGGCAGGAAGATGTCTGCATTTGAGAGGAGCTTGGTCTACCTAGAGAACTCCATGACAGCCTGAGCCACATAGAGAGATTCTCAAAAAACAAAACAAACCAGGCATGGTGTGCACACTTTTAATCTCAGCACTTGGGATGCAGAGGCAGGTGCTTCTCTATGAGTCTCCACACCGGCCTGAACTAGTTCCAGGATACCCAGGGCTACAGAGTGAGACCCTGTCTCCAAAGAAAAAAAAGAAAAAAAAAACGTCAGTGAGACATATTATAGATTGTCCATATTTATTGAACTCATCCAAACTTTCAAACTCACTGGTCATGTAGACTTTTGGCCACATCTGTTTTCATGCAGCCTGTTCCTTCCCATTAAACCTAACGTGAGACTCAGAACCACGTGGGTGGTCAGGTGACAAAGCCTGAGGAGGAGAGCACGTTCTCCCAGCATGTCTGCCTTGTATTTATTCATGCTCTAATGGGAAGGAAAGCGTCTCTTAGTACGCTTTCATTTTGGTAATATTCAGAGCAAACTCTGGCAGCCTCAAACCTTTTGGTATACAGCACCTCATATAAACTGTATTATGTTGCCCATCTGTTTAGAGCAGTGGTTCTTCTCAACCTTCCTAACGCTACGACCTTTTAATACGGACTCATGTCGTGGTGACCCCCAACCATACAGTTACTTTGTTGCTACTTCATAATTGTCATTTTGCTACTGTTATGAAAGGTAGTGATGGTCTTAGGCAGCCCATGAAAGGGCCACTGAGTCCCTCCCCCACCAGAAGGGTTTGCTACCCACAGGTTGAGAGCTGCCGACTTAGAGTGTGTATTACTTGTTGTTGCTGTAATAAAACATCATGACCAAAAGAGACTTAGAAAAGACAGAGTTTACTTTGGTTTACGGCTGTAGAGGGCCCATCACGGTGGGAAGTAGAATAGCAAGTGGCAGCAGAAGAGCTGAGCACATCTGTAACCAAAAACAGGCAGTGGGGCAGACACAGGCCTCTCCTGTGTCTTACCTCCGGCCAGCCTCCTCCCTGTCGTGGCCTCCCACAACGCTGCCATCAACCAGGGACCACGTGCTGAAATATGTGAGCCTGTGGGGGGGCTTCTCATCCAGACCATCACAGAATGTAAAGATTCGCTTCCTGTCTCAGGCTAAAATTGTCTCCTAGGCAATTAAACTGTCTGTGGAGCAAACCACACTAGTGTCATGATTTTTGTATTTGCACGGATTTGTTAAATGTCACGGAGCTGAACTGCATGGGGAAGTTTTCTTACAGTGTCTTCTTCTCTCTCTTCAGGAAGTGGAGAAATACCAACAGTGGACACCATCGACTCATACATGAACAGATTGCACAGTATAATTTTAGCTAATCCCCAAGACAACGAGAACTTCATAGCTACAGTCCGAGAGGTTGTGAACAGGCTTGATCGTTAAGCACTGGTGAGTGCTCGCCCATAGAACGCTTAGTGCCAGCCCCCGCGGCTTCGGTCTGCTAAAACCTGGAGCTGCACTAAGTAACTGAGGTGGCTTAGAATGCTGTTGTGTAACTGCTTGCTCAGTGATATTAAAAACACACGTGAGGTGGTTTCTTAGACATGTGTCGGCCTTGTTTAAGCAACATGATTTTTGTTGTTGGAACTCAGTTCTAGTTTTGCCCCTTACTGGTTTCCAACGGGTCTTAAAGACTCTGTGGGAAAGTTTAAGGAAGATCACCCGAAAAATAGTTCTCAGAACAAAATAAATAGCATTCACCTGTTAATCTGTCTCTTAATATTTAATCCTATATAAGTAAGAAGTGTTCTCGTTCACTGTTGAATAGCAGTGGGGTCATGGTATGCTAAATGCTGATATAAACTAAGCTTCAGCCAAGCAGTTCATGTCTTAATTTTAAAAAGTTTAAAAAAAAAAAAAAGCCAGTCATAGTAGTACATACCCTTGTGAGGCTGAGGCAAGAGGATTGTGAGTTCAAGACTAGCATGGGGCCAGCACCAGTAAGATTGTCTGAAAGAGCAAACGAAAGGGTACAGACAGGCAGCTCAGCTGGTAAGTGTTGAAGTGTCATCCCAGAACCCACATAAAAACCAGCTGTGGTGATGCACCCTTAATTTCCTCACTGAGGAGAAGGAGTAGACAGTGACTCCTGGACCTTGCTGGCCAGTCGTCTTAGCCTAATTGGTGAGTTCCAGGCCAACAAAAGACCTTTCTCAAAAAAAAGGAAGGTAGATGGGTCTTGAGAAATGACAGGTGTCCACACGAACACTCACCCACGTCCAGTAAAACAGAGAGTGAAGCTGAGCCTGTAATCCCAGCATTTAGGAGATAAAGGCAGGCGAGTCCTCACAGGCTCAAGGACAACCTGATCTACACAGTGAACTCCAAGGCTAACATACCAAGACTCTAGCTCTTAAAAAAAGACTTAAAAGGAGGTAAAGCATGGTGGCTCCTGCCTTTAATCCCAGCCGAGGCAGAATGATCTCAGTGAGTTCAAGGCCAGCCTGGTCTACAGAGTGAATTCCAGAACTGTCCAGGACTATATAGAGCGAACCTGTCTTTAAAATAAAATTAAAGAAGACTAAGGATATGACTCACCCGTTAAGAACATTTGGTTCTTCCAGAAGACCCAAGTTCAACTCCCAGCACCCACACATAGCATGCCTGTAACTCTAGTTCCAAGAGATCTCACGCCCTCCTCTGGCCTCTGTGGACACCTGCCCTCACATGTCCATCACACACATGAATGTGAATGAATGAATGAATGAATGAATGAATGAATGAAAAGAAAGGCAACAAATAAACAGCAGCAAGTGTTAACATTCTTTGAGAGGAAATGGGCAGAAAGTACATTTCCAATAGAGAAGGACCCACAAAGACTTTTTGGTACTAATGGCCAGTCATCAGATATTTCTTTTTAAGACAGCATCTCACTGTTTAATCCTGGCCCAGGATGTACAATGTAAATCATGCTGGCTTCAAATTCATAGAGATCCTCCTGCCTCTGCTTCCCAAACACTGGGATTAAAGGTGTCTTGTACTGCCACATCTGGCCAGACAGCATTCTTAAATGAAAGCAGAGTTTTTTCACTGTAATTCCTAGAGATAGGGTAACATGCAGGCCTATACAGCCTGTTGATTAAATTGTTTCTTACCTACAGACATACAGTCTGGGTAGAAATCTTAGAGTTGGACCACATTAGCGAGAAAGCCATGTATTAAAACACAAGTGATGGGCTGGAGAGATGGCTAGTGGTTGAGAGCACTGGCTTCTTTTTCAGAGGACCCAGGTTCAATTCCCAGCTCCACATGGCTCCTCACAACTGGCTGTGACTCCAGTTCCAGGGTCTCCTCCACCCTCATACAGACATACATGCAGGCAAAACAACAATGCTCATGAAATAAAAACAAATAAAACACTCCCACACAAATGAGTAGCAGAATGCTCCTGAGGAGTAGTGTGTGTTTGAGTCTCTGTCCTCCAAGCACCTTCATCATATAACCTGGACTCTGCCTCGGTTTAGAGTCTGAGCAATACAGTCGAGAACCCATGGGGCCCATATCTTGCTATCTAATAAGGCAGCATTCGCTAGCAGAGACAAACACAATATAGTCTTTATCCTTCTTGGTTGAGCCTTCGGGTGGTGACCATACAAGACTGTTCAATATTCTTTAGTTTGGCTATGCTTAAATGAGAACAAGATTATAGCAAGCAGCCAGATGGGATGGTCTGTACTTCTAAGAGATGGCTGGACTCCCTAGAGAATGGAGACGTGGCATCAGTGCCGCCACTTATGAAGGGAACAGCTTGTAAATCTAGGCCTGAGATTCTCAGGAGCTCATCTTCCTTCTCACACAGTGTTTTCAATTAGCACTCTTGTAGGCTTAAAAAGAGAGAGCTGGGACACTCAGCATGGAAGACTGTGAGAGAAACCAGTAATTGATAACATGGAGTCTCCTCACCTAAGGAGAGGGCAGTGGATTCGAGGATGAAGCCAAAAGTGCCTTTTCACTTTGAGCATATGCCAGTAAGACCCTCCTAAAGCTGTCTACCATAAGGCCATAAACTGCAGTGGCTGCTCTCTGAAGAATCTTTGAAATACCTAGGCCATTACCAGTCTCCTTGATTTTTAACCAAAAGTATTTTGTCCTTGGGAAAAAAAATGTCTTGAACTGTTCTATTAACACAAATCTTAGAATTTCCAATGCAGACATAACCAAGCTCCCCCCACCCCCAGCTGTCACGTGGAACAATTAGAAAGACTGTGATTAATACTAGCTTGGTCTCATTATACAAATATGTATAGACAGACAGCTAGGCCTGATGTCCCCAGCACTCATGGTGCAATTAATTACTCTGACACCAGTTTGGCAAAGGCTGCATTCTACTGTCAGGAGCCAGTGACTAAAGTGAAGCCCATAGGCCACAAGTTTACAAGTCTTAGAGGAGCATATCAGAGCTGAAAAAGGCCTTTAGAAATCTGTGTGTGTGTGTGTGTGTGTGTGTGTGTGTGTGTGTGTGTGTGTGTGTTATGTATATGTATATCCCAAAGAGATGAGATGAAGCATTTGAAGATGTCAAGGCTAAACATGATTGTGTAAACTGTCATTCAAGGGCTTCTGAAGCATAGCCCTCACATGACAGGGGGGTAGTGGGGCTAAGGTATGCAAAACTCACAACAAAGCACGAGGTAAATATTGTGATTATGATTCTAGTGACTTTTGGCCAGCCATTTTTAATTTATTTTTATAGATATACAATGGAAGAATTACCCTAGCTGTCACCTTTCTTATGACTAACTAGCATCTGGAGAGATAAGAGAAACTGGGAGGGTATTTATGTTGAGACGTGACCACCCGTGACCAGCAGAGTCCGTGCATTGCCCAGTTTCTCTTGAATCACAGTGTCTGGCTATTTGAAGATTAGAGAGTATTCCTTTTATGTATATTTATTACATTTTATCCATTGTATCTGTCTGTCTGTCTTTGTCTTTGCACATGGATGTGGACATGCCACAGTGTGGGTATGGATGTCACAGAACAACTTCTGGGAATCGTTTCTCTCCTCCTGCTCCGTGGGTCCTAGATACTGAACTCCCATCACTAGGCCTGGCAGGCAGCCTCTGTGCCCACTGAGCCATCTTGCTGGCCTGATGACTATTTTTAATCAGTAAGAAAGTGGTTGATAGCATACATAAACACGTTCCTGCACAAGCAGATATCCTCAGTTTTATCCGTAAGGAAAACTGGCTTTGGTTGGCCGTACATCCTGTGGACTGAAGTGAGTGGCTAACTTCCCTCATCAGATTTCTCTGATCACTGCTTTTTGATGAGCAGCCACTGATCTTGGCTTCCTTGGATCCTCAACTAGAGCAGGACCGTATTTCTCACTGAAATGTCTGTAGCATCTCACCATTGCCTGCCTGCATCTTTGTGGGGTCTTTATTTCATATTTTCCCATCTTATAACCCTCTCAAAATTCAAACAAAGCATTTTTAAATCCGTAACTCTAACTCCTTCTGACTGGCAGTTACCTTTTTGGTGTTTGTTTGTTTGTTCGTTTGTTCTTCTCTCTATAGTCTACAGATCTTAGTGCTCCAAGATGTAGTGTGTGCACTTGTGCAATGAGAAGCTGCCATGAACATTTGAACTGAGCCGGGGCAGAGGACCACAGACCCCTCCCTGTGAAAGAATTGTCAGTAAGTTAAATGCTTTTTCATTCCAGGAAGCTGTGTGAGGGAGCAACAAAGACGGATGCGTGCACTCTGTGGGAACACCCTGTGTGCAGCTTTGAAAGTGTACAGCCCCTCACTCTCCTCCAAGTCTTCCTGGAGTCCTCTCATTTCCATTTCTGCTGAAGTGGATCTGCATACATTCTTCTGACCATGGTGACCTGAGACTGACATTTCCTTCTCTCCACAGCAGAAAGGAAGATGTCTCATTGTTGCAATCCCACTCCAGTTTTCTTTCCCAGATGTCACTTCTTTAAATGCCTCGGGGAGGATGCTTTCCCTCACTCCCACCATGTTACACATCTCCATTTTCTGACCTCTGGGTTTTGTTGCTCAGTGGGGCTTTGAAGGAGAATTCTCATTGGATGGACCCAATCTTCTCCATCACTGCCCTGCTGTGACTCCAAAGAAGGGAGCTTCTTGTTGACAGTGCCCTGTGGAGCCAGGCACTGTTTCATGCCCTGCATGGTGCTCAGTGGGTGCCAGCCCCTCAGCAGGCTCTGTGATTGCTGCCCTGAAGGACAATGCCTCCTCCTTCCTTCCTGGTCCTGCCTGCTGATCTCTGAGCATTACTCCTGCTCAGACATGGAGTCCCAGCCACAGCAAGGCTCGCCAGTCCCCATCTGTGGGCAGTGTCCCGTGGAGCACTTCTACTGAGGAAAAGGTCATTGGTAAAGAGGGAGGAGGAAAGTCATGCACATTTGGTGTTGGAAAGCAGCCCGACATTTGGCTAAGTGGAAACCAGCAATACCGTGCTCGGTGCACAGATCCATGCATTAAGATGATGGGAACTTTTTTGGAAGTCTCTTGAGCTCACAAAAGGGCACAGTGGAATCCGCTCGTGTTTCGCTTTCCTTTGTAGCCACCAATCTATGGAATCTATGTGGAAAAGACAGCTTCCTTCCCTCCCTCTCCTTACTGAGGAATTTTATTGTTGTTGTTTAACCACAAAAACAAACAGGTTCTGTTTCTCTCCTCAGGGTTGGTTTCCGGTTTTTGGGTTGGGTTTGGGCTTTGGTTTGGTTGTAGGTTTGGGGTTTGATTTGGTTTTTTGTTTTTCTTTAATGCTCCAGAGCATAAGGATAGAGGTGGCAGCTGAGGTCTTTGGAACCAAAGCAGAACATGCTGAGCCCATTATCTAGGCACTAGGCCACCAAAGGCAGGGGATGGCGTGTGCTCCCTCACAGTGTGCCCACAAGCCAGAGCCCCCATGCTGTGGCTGCACCACCCTGTCTTCTCCGCACTGCGTGCTCTCCGGTGTGCTCTATTAGATCGTCCAAAGGGAGCAGCACTAGTAAGGAGAGCTGAGTGAACACGTGGAACTTCCAGCACTGAGACCCACATACACTCACTTAGACCCCGTCAGCACTCACCGCTGCACAGCCAGCCAGCTCCACTGTCCCAGCTCCCCACCCTCATCTGCTGATTTTGCTTCTTAGAGTGCTTGCCTGCTAAGCCCATGCTAGAACTCATTGTCTGTGGCAGAAGGACACCCAAGCCAGTTCTGGGAGTTTGTCTGTCTTCAGCCAGATGCTTCCTGTTCTTTCTTCCTTCCTCCTCATACTGCTGTTTCTCTCTGTATGCAGTTCCACGACGCTCCCATAGCACTGATCTTAACGGCCAGATAAAGCTATGGCTTGGTCCAAAGATCACCATTCTCCTCTTTACAGATGTGATACCTCATCTCCTCTAGACACATTTGCATAGCCAGAATTCAGGAGGATAGCAAGAAGATGGAATCCTTGTCACAGCAATAGCTTCCCTTAAATACTGCCCCTCTCTCCCGGCAGCTCCACACCTGCCCCTAGTGGCTGGGATTCAGTCAGGTTGTGTAGAGCTGGTCTGTTCGACCTTCTATCACCTCATGCTCAACACGGAGGAGGAGGTCAGGGTACAGCTGTCACAAGGATTTATTCCCCGGAAGGCTCATCATTGATCCTGCACCTACAAGCTCTCCTCAAAAAGGAAGTGGTTACCAATTCAGTGTTATACATTCCATTCTTGCTTTTTGTTAAAATACAGGAGCAGCTGGGGAAGGGAGATGAGGGGCTTATTTCTGACAAGTTTTAGAAAACGAAATATTGTGTACATGTGTTTGGAACTGTTGAATTGCCAGGCTTCTGTACAAGCATTTTGTAATTAAACTTTTGGATTTTCTTTAAGAGGTTGATGTGCTTGCTTGACATTTGTCTCATTAAAACTTTTCTGTGTTGAATCCATGTGACCAGTTTTGCTTGCATTGTAACAGGAAAGTTCTGCTTCTGCTTTCTTTCTCTGGAAGACTTCGTCAGCTCTCCATTAATCAAGGCTGCTAGGCTTTTAGAGCAGTCACACGTTCATTTTCCTAATTGCTGATTCAAGACGTCTTTACCTGTTGACAGTGCAGCTCTGTCAATGTTCCCTAGAACAATACTGTGAGTTACACTTCCTTTCATGCAGCAGTACTTACTCTGGAAGCAACTTGAATGTTTTTAAGTCAGTGACTCTAAAGTCCCTTGTTAGTTGATCTTTTGACAGAAGAAATGTTGTGCTTAAGTTTCTGCTTTTTAAAAATAACCACACTTACCAATCAAAATATTTTAAAAGGCTTTGAAATCTTTAGGATGAGGTATCTTTGGCTTTCAGAGCCCACTCTCCTCCTTTGGGACAGGTGTGTGGTGCTGGGCAAGTATGCATTGTGTCACCTCAGGCTTCCTCTTCTGACATCACAAGTGCTTTGACTTTATTACAGTATTGTTAGAAGGCTAGAATTTGGTGTTTAAAAAAAAATACTTTGAAAAGTATCAAGAATCATCATAGTATCAGAGGCAAAACTGGGTTTGATTACATTTAGCAAAAACCCAAATCAACTGTGGCTTAAATCAGAAGTGTATGTCTCTTTCATAAAACAGTATAAAAAAAAAAAAAAGGCCTGTCCAAGACTGACACAGAGGTTCCTGTCTGTACCACAGTGTAGCACATCTTTCAAGGTCACCTTGTGTTCCAACATAGCTACTTGGCCATCGGCCATCCCTTTGAAATTCCTGGCAGCATTAGGAGGAGGCAAGGACAAACGGGCAAGCCTGATTTCCTAGTCTTCCCTGGAAATCACACTCAACACTCGCAGTCACATCACCATGGCGGGCTGCTAAAGAATCCTGGAAACATCGCTGTGTGGACTTCATTGCTCAGTTATACAAGTTTTAGTAAGAGAGAGAGAAGGAATTGAATGTGGAGTGGGCAGCAGAAATTTTCCTATATTAATGAATGCTACATTGTTTCTCCCTGTTGATTCACGTTTTGAAAATAACCTCATATTTCTTAGAACAAACCGATTTCAGTGTGAGTTAGCACTTCCTTTTCACACCTTAGCTTCTTGCCCAGCTTCAGCAGTGGGTGGCCAGGCTTGGTAAAAATCGACAGGAGCAGGTGCTAATGCATGTCCAGCTCGGTTGCTCTTACCCTGACTGCTCTTCAGTCAGGTTCAACACCAGGACAATTCCTCCCTGAGGTTGGATGATGGCTCCCTAAGGGTGGGGTGTTGAAGTATTATTGTTTGGTAGAAAAACTATAATTCTTTCCTGCTTTGTGAAACAGTTTCCTGCCTCACAACCAGGATTTCGAAGTCAGGGGCTTTTTTCTTTGAGTTGTTTATTTACCTTTGTCACAAAGCATGCACTCAGATTAAATACGAATAGATGGAAACATTAGGTCACTCACCAGCTCAAGAAATGGGTTGAGAGTCAGAAGTCTCAGGTGAACGTGCTGTCTGCCCACTGAACTAGAAACTGTTTGATGGGAATGTGTACTAAAGGGAGACTGGCCAGAAACAGGAATGTAAGTTCCTAAGAAGAACCTGGGGACATAGGAGAGCCGGGGGGAAATCCAGAGAGATGGTGCACATTGTCAGAAGGTTTTTTGTGAATGATCTGAATGCTGGATCTGTGGGAAGCTGTGAGACTGAGAGGGGTGTTCTCCATGCTCCCCAACACTGAAGAGCAGCTCCCGCATTTCACTTGAGGTTATTGTGTGGAGCTACAGAAGCATTTATAAGAGAGATACATTTCTAGGGCTGGAAAGGTCCCTCAGTAGTTAAAAGCACTCACTGGCTGCTCTTCCACAAGGGGTTAGATTCCCAGAACCCACAGAGCAGCTCGTAAACTGTAACTCCACTTCCAGGTGACCTGCCGCCCTCTTCTGCCCTCCTCACAGGCATGCAGGTGGTACACACACATGTAGGCAAAACACCCGTACACATAATAAAAATTATCTGAAAGAATACTGGGAATCAACAGAAATGCCTTAAATAGCTCTGACATGGAGTAGCTTGAATTAAGTTTCAAATGAGGAAATAACTTTGTGAGTGTGTGTGTGTGAGAGAGAGAGAGAGAGAGAGAGAGGGAGAGAGAGAGAGAGAGAGAGAGAGAGAGAGAGAGAGAGAGAGAGAGAAATAGAAAGAGAGAGAGAGCCCACCCAAAGGTCAAATACAGGATCTTCCTCTACTACTTTATTTAAAGTAGGACCGATTGATTTTTCCTGAGCTCTGAACTCACTAACTGGTTGCAGTGGACTTGATTGCATTCAACAGAAATCCCAGTAAACAGTGACTTAAATCAATGTGTCTCTCTAAGCCAGGCATAGTGGCGCATGCCTGTAGTCCGGCAGAGGCAGGCAGATCTCTTGAGTGTCAGGCCAGCCTGGTTTATAAACTTGAGTTTCAGAACAGCCAGAGTTACAGAGAAAACCCGTCTTGAAAAACAAAAGTGTCTCATTAAAAAAGAGAAGTATTCCAACAGAAGCCAGTCCAAGACAGGTCTGGAATCCCTGTCTGTATCACAAGGTACTGTCTTCTCAGCGTCATGCAGTGTTCCAACATGCCAATTTGACAGGCAGGCTCTGAATCTATGTGTCTTTCCCCTCTCCCCAAAGCTACAGACATGCACCATGATACCAGGGCTTTTACATGGTACTAGGGATCTTAAAGCTCCAGTCCCTGTGTAGGTTATTTTTTTACCAACTGAAACATTTGACCAGCCCTGAGATAACTTTTTTCCTTTAAATTCTTTGACGCTTTTGGGGACTGGAGAATCAGCAGTTAAGAACACTGGCTGCTCTTCCAGAGGATCCCAGATCAGTTTTCAACACCCACACAGTGGCTCACAATCACCTATTATAACTCCAGTGCTTTGGGATCTCACATCGTCTGGTCTTGAGGAACAGTCATGCCACTGGTGCCCAGACATGCATGCAGAGTAAACATCTGTACACATGAAATAAATTTCGTAAAACTCTTTGACAGTTTTATACAAATCTATAATGTAATTTGGTCACTTTTAGCCCAGATATCCTCTCTCAGCCCCTCCCACTCTTCTAGAACCCCTCCTTCCCAACACGTTCCCCTCCAGTGCACACTAGACAGATCTCTACTACTGGGCTATGTTCCCAGCCTCCTGTGATCTGTTTATTTCATTTGCTTGTTTATGGGATGATTTACAGATTCATGTGTCACCCCTCGCACAGGGACCCTGCTCTCACTGGATTGTTCCCATTCTAATGTATGTGGTGTTCACGTGAGACAATAGAGGTTTTATGTGGGTTAAACTAGTTATATTTAGAATAGTACCTGTCATAGAGTACAGGACACATAGGAACTTAACATTTTTTGGAAAACTTAGGCAAGAGAGACACAACAGCTAGAGACACTATAGGTGAAGTAAGTAGTCTGTTCTACTTTTTATATGAATTGTATCAATTGTGTATCACCTGACACAACTTTATAGTTCACCCTTTTTATAAGTAAATGAAGACTGGGGGTTGGATGATAAGTAGTTTGCATAGAATTGGAAACAAGGAAGGATTTTTTGGTCTTGGGTTTTGTTTGTGGGTTTGAGATTTTTTGTTTGTTTCTTTCTTTCTTTTTGGATTTTCATGACAGAGTTTCTCTGTATATTCCTGAACATCCTGGAATTCGAACCGTAGACCAAGCTTTTTCCTCTTGAACTCAAAGATTCACCTGCCCTGAACTCCACATTCCTCCATGACCACACTGAGATTATTCTAGTGTTTTTGTTTTGGGATCCGTTGGTTGGTTGGTTGGTTGGTTGGTTGGTTGGTTGGTTGGTTGGTTGGTTGGTTGGTTTTGAGTCAGTGTCTCATGTAGGCCAGGCTGAGCACCTGAGAACTGAGAACTAGACATGATGTTGAGTGTCTTTGTGTCACCAGCTGTTCTAGGTCCCAGACCCTATAGGCTTTATATGAGAGATATGTAAAATAGCTCACCTGCCCTAACCATTGGTCAAGCATGAGAAGAGATATGAACTACGGACTTATAGAGAGGAAAAAGTCTTTCTCAGAAGCTATCTTTTGGCCAGATATGGTAGCCCACGCCTTAATCCCAATACTCAGGAGGAAGAGGCAATTGGATCTCTGTAACCTTGAGGCTAGCCTGGACTATGAAGCAAGTCCAGGACAGCCAGGGCTCTGTTACACAGAGGAATCTTGTCTTGAAAAAAAAATAAAATAAATAAAAAGAACTATCTTGCCGGGCAGTGGTGGTGCATGCCTTTAATCCCAGCACTTGGGAGGCAGAGGCAGGTGGATTTCTGAGTTTGAGGCCAGCCTGGTCTACAGAGTGAGTTCCAGGATAGCCAGGGCTACACAGAGAAACCCTGTCTCGAAAAACAAAAAAAACAAACAAAAAAACCTATGAGGGGGGGAATTGATTTGAAAGAGCCAGTGAGACTGGGAGAATCAAAAGGTCACAATCCTGAGGCAGGAAAGGAAGAAGGAGAAAAGCACACTGTTGAGGCTGGCGCGGTCAGTGTGAGGTGTAGTGACTGCAGAGCCCACAGTCATGCAGAGCCTTGTAAAGAAGGATTGGGGAAGATCTTCACCTCCCGTGTGGAGAGATTTCAGTAGCAGGGAGGAACGGATATATTTTTAAGGATTTTTCACTGCCGTGAGGAAGATTTCAAGGAAACGAGAAGAATCAAGAACCTAGATAGAGAACTGGCACAAAGCCCATAGGAGTGCCTGCATACATCTTTAATCCCAGCTCTGATCCCAGCCGGTGGATCTCTGAGAGTTTGAGGCCAGCCTGGTCTACATAGGAGTTCTAGGATAGCCTGAGCTACCTAGTGAGACCCTGTCTAAAAGAGAGAGAGTGTGAGAGGGAAGGATAGCGAGCACGCTGACACAGAGTCCAGTGAGAAGCACCAGAAACTCAGCTATGGTCAT